TATTATTGACCATCCAGTGCTCGAAAGCTCTGAATCAGTCTGGTCCTCAGAAAATTCATTTCGAATCGTCCTGCCCGCTATCCACATTCAGCAGAAGCGTTGCCTTTGGTGAACGTCTTGAAGACAAAGCTCGCGTTCATTTGATGTTCGCACGCTTCTTCGGATATGGTAGCCCTGCCCTTCAAGGATGAAGGATGTGCTGAGTTCGCAGCTTGAAAATGCGAGAAGAAAGCTCCGCTCGTGAAGGAACTGCCGCTCCGCCCCCTAACAGCCGCAACGCCCAAAGCCCATTTCTGACCGTGACTCGGGGTGCGGTCCTTTTGCCACTTACTCTCTCCCCTTTAATGATGGAAGTGATATGATAAGGAGAGAGAGTCGGCACGAACAAGTGAGAACTAGTCCGACCACGCCCCTTCTTGACCTTATGCTTGTACAAGCGCTGTTAGCTGGAATTCAACAAAGGATTCAAATTCAACACAACATTTCCCATAATTTTTTTTCCTGTTTTTCTTCTTCATTACTGAATCCTTTGCTACCTTCTTATTACTATTTGAGCCACCTAGCCTATCATTTTGAACGCGGGCTCTGTTTTCAAGTGAGAACTTTCCCCTCGGTGGAAAAGACACCTAGTTCTAGTTAAAATGCTTATTTTTCGGTAAATTTCAGACAATTTAAGCGGTATTGTACCTGGTCCATCACGAGATTTTTCCAGCAATAACGCTTCTTTTGCTGTTTTCTCATGCCCTTTCTCACTCAAGTTTTCGCTCATTTTCACTACTTTGATTTTCATGTACATAACTATAGAGTGTTTTGTTCCAGCTATTTTTCAAAAAGCACTGTGCTGCTGCAGCCTACTTGCCAGATACAGATTGGATGCTTGTACTTGACGCCTGACACCGGTACGTTTTACATTCACTATATACACGAACATCTCTTCATCTCGAGAGTTTAACATGGAAGGCAGTGAGCAGCAGCATCCTAATGAGTCAGTGACATTGGAAAAATGTAGGAAACAGTGGTGAAGAGAGCAGACTATGCTAAAAATTGATTAAATGTTGTTATACTATGTAATCTTTGTTTGTCGCCACAGTTCGCGTTCCAAAAGTCATTACAAGGATGCTGAGTTATGGATATTCTTGACCGCAGGCGGGGTTTCGAACCCGCATTTCCGCTTTCCAGGCGAGTGCGTCATTATTGGTATAAAAAAACTTCGGAAAATGTAGATCCCTCACCCTCGCGTTTCACAGCCGATATCGGCACGTTGAACTTGCGAGTGCTGTAAGACTATCGCACAAAGCCGTTGAGCTGCTGATGAGAGGGTAGAGCGTCCCATCTAGCGTAACGGATAGCGCACTCTCGCAGAAAGCGTGGTGTAGGTTCGGGTCCCATTTTGGGTCAGAAACTTTTGGCTCAGCATTTATGTGATAACTTTTAAAGTTCGAACTGCGGCGTTGAACAGCAGAGAGTGAAAACCTTCAAATCTCACCCAATATTGGTATTCCATTCCGTTAGAGTGCCGGGACGAGCGATAAAATTTAAGTTGAAGAATCGAGCAACCATAGATGTACAGGGGGGCCAAAAAAAGTCACTTCGACCGAGTCACATATCAGCAAAGTTTTCGCTGCCCAGACAGAGGACGTGGTACCAGGGCGGAAGATACCCAAGATGTTCCTCTATAAGCAGGAGCTGGCTCTCGCCCATCACCTTCATGTACACCAAAATATGAAGTCATCTCCAGCCGCAACCTGACTGGAGAAGACCTTTGGAATTCATGTCACCTCCAAACAGCTGCGAAACTTTAGTATGGAGTCACCCATGGATAGCTACCTGGAGACCAGTACTCTCGATCTGGAAGACCTCCAACATCGAGCAGCTCCGACAACGTCGCCACGGTCTAGGACATCATCTTCACCGCAGTCGCCAAGGCGCGGGTTGATGGTATGGACCGGCCGTACCTGGAATGGGAAGACCGATATTTTCTTTGTAGACCCCGACTGAAGGTGAGCGCTGGCGGTTACATCAAGTAACTCGAGAAGGATATCCTCCCTACATGTGGTCGCCCGTACCTTCTTGGAGACCTTGTGCTGCTACAGGTTTGGGTGCCACCACATGGAATCAAAGGGTTTTGGAAAAACTCCCGCCTACTTCGAATGGAAGGGCGTTTCGTACCTGAAGAAGATGTAATATTGAAGTATGTCCCCTGACCTGAATCCCACTCAATTACCTTGTTTGGGCG